AAATATAAGCTTGTCAAATTTTTACTGCTGGTTTTTGTTTTTGATATAGCGGAGACGAATAAACCCTTTTCATACGAGTTGGTCCCACGCAACACAAATAATCCATTCGACTATCCACCGAAAATTTCACGACAAATGTTACCGGAGAGCTTAGCTAAATAATTTCACTCTCTATTGATTTGTGCATTTTGCTCGTATATAGCATTCACTAGTAGGGCTAATGAAGTGAAGTATATTTGAATAAATATTTAAATTATTGAATAATGAAGCAGAAACAGTACGGTAGTCATCGAAGGAATGAATATGTGGGAACGAATGATTTCATTTCTCACCTCTTAGAGGTTAAGGTCAGGTTAAGAAGTGATTAATGGAAAATGTTGCTTCCTTAGTAAACAACCTTCCAAAGTCTTGATAAAAAGTTTTGGAACGAATTCGATAGCTCACTGTTCTGTGAAGTCAGGCTTATTAATATATTTGGAAAAATCATCCAGTAATTTAAAGCGGTATTTTTCCGAAGGATGATAAGCAGCTACTCACATCATCTTACATTGATGAGGCTTACAGAACTGAACTGTTCCATTTATTTGTTGATCTTATCTTACCACAACCGACCAAATACCTTCTAAATGTAGTGGAATACCTTCTTTGCGCGAGGCTTGTACATGGTGCATGTGTGCGTTTATCACTACGCAATAATTCTCATTTTTAAGCAATCATAAAAAGAGAGGAAATTGTCATCGATAAAGGAAGCCAGATTCATTTATCAATAGAAAGTGATTCATTTATCAGCAGAAACATATTTTAAATTGATATAGTTCTACTGATACAATTACTTATGAAAACCTGTTACCGTTTCACCGATATTCATTGATTCATAATCCGTGACAAGTGACTTGTATAACTGGAAGTAATTCTGGATAAATACAGACATTTTTGGTGGAAGAAATTGGATTTCAATTTTTTTCTGTCCATTCTTGTCCAAAATTACCTCAAACCACACAAGCCATTTGTTACACATTATCATGCAGTTTTTTTTCCGAAAGTTTTTAAAGTGCATAATGAATTGCACTGCAACAACAAGACTGATCTTGTGATGCAGTTAGATGCAATAGCATCTTCTGCTTACTTCTTATTTAAGTCAAGCCTCAATCAGCTTCTCTCCAATTTTTAATTTTATAACCTGTATTCAGCTCATTTTGATTAAGTGACACAATTTTTTAGAAAGATATATGGAAGGACTGTGAAGATTTCCTTTTCAACCAGTAGGAAATAGTTCCTGGCCCCTAATCTTTGCATGCATCATCGAGAGCGTGCACAGTATCCGAGTGATCTCACTGATATTGACTGATAAAGATAAGAATCCTTTTTATGACTTATGCAAAATTCAATTTCATGTTTTCTAGTCATTTTAGTGTGACTAATGAGACTTACCAATCAATATAGTGGTTCGGATGGTCAACTGGAAATTAAAAAAAATCTACTGCGGTTCACCAGTATGACTTATATTGAAATCGTAAGCTCCATTATAACATATATCACTAGGAGATTAATTGGCAACTGCTACAAACTTTAAGGCTTCATTTTTCGAATTGACCTTCACAAGGCGGAAAATATTGTGGAAAACGCCTTTACCCAAATAATTTTTTTTTTTATTATGAAATTAGTAAAAACTAGACTGATATTTTGGCATTATTATGTTATCAGGACACTGCCATGATAATCTTGACTTTGTCGAGAAATAATATTCCTTTTATCATAGATCTATGACATCACTCAATGATCGAATTGATAATAGCTTGCTATCAAGTTTATTTCTAGGAAACAGCTACAGTATTTTGCATGCCGAAATATAGGTTCTGCAATGATGCATCAGCAATTATTCATTAATTACTTACTTGCCTACTGAAATGTTCAGATTGGTAGTACAATGGTAAATTCATAATAGAACTAATAAAAATTCAATATATAAATATATCGCTTGAGTACGACTGCTTATCCACGACTGCTTGTGTCTGTCATTATTTCACAAATGTCCACTCGCAATTTGTTACATCGTCGACAGCTCAACCTGCAATTTTCAGCCATCCATAATTGATTTTTCTGACATTCGCCTTGAGTAGCCCATACCGGACATTGTAAATGTCGGTCTGAACAATCTGCAATCGAACATTCATCTCATTCACTTCTCCTCAATCATTAAACAATACTTTAATGAGTGAAACAGTAAAGAGAATGAAATGAAAAGGTCGTGTTAGTTGTGAAAGATAGAAGTAAAGGTATGTATCCCAGAAAGTGGTGATCAATAACTTGTTACTTAAGTTGTTATAAGTAAGTCAAGTAAAAAACATTTTATGGTTACCTCTATCAGTCTCCGTTTTATTTCAAAATATCTCAGATATATAGCATACTCAAAGAGAGATTCCCTATTAATTTCTTAATCTCTCATAATATTTTTATTTTGACAATACCGTAGGAATATTGTTCCAAACTATTAATCTCTGATTATAACAGCCTAACTTCACCATTCAATCTTTTCAAAAGATTTGATAAACAATTAAGAGCCTAGAACACATAGATATGGCCAAGAAAAAAAATTTACCAGAAGCAGTGTTATATTGAGCAATACATTTATGACAGGATACAGGACACCAATTCAGCATCATTTCCTCATTTGTTTTGCATTCACCTCTACTGGCCCAAATTGAACAACATTCATGACTATTATAACATTGCTCCTGGAATGAAAAAGTTGGCCATCATTGATGAAAATGTTTAATTAATTAACTAAATGAAACGATTAAAAGAATTTCCATCAATTCTTGATTATAGTATACGATGAATCCGAGATTCCAGTCTTCCTGTTGTTTATTTCTTCTCAAGATTTGCACGGTTCAAAATTGAAAGAACTTGTTCTATGCCTCATTCATTCAATAAAATTATTAAACATTACGACAAATGAAAATTCATAGTGTACCTTTGCAATATTTGTTGTTGCCGTTGAACTAATTAGCGCTACTGAGAGTTCTATGCTTCTGATTTGTTTTCCATCATTGTGGTCTGTCTGAAACAAGAATGGAAACAAAATTTGTTTTAAAATGAAAGATATGATGAAGAAAGAATAAAACTCCCAAGCCATTCACACTCTAACATTCTGCAAAATGTTATCTAATTGAAAACTGAAAAGAAAATGTGGGTCACTTTAGAAATGGTCTCAAGCTATCCACATTTTTTGCTAAATTGAAAAATTAAAATTAAAAAAGTATTTCATCTTGCTTCTGAGGAACCGATGCGTTTTTAGTACATCTTCCGGACAGACAAAAACCACTGTAGCACGAGTTCTCCTGATGTGTATAACTGTTGCAATTGCCGCCCAGACGTATTTTTGTGGAACAACGAGCGTATCCATGCGATAGATCACAGAATAGGAATCTGAATCCACGTTTTACTGCTTCCATGGTCAGCTAAACTCTTATCTATCTATCAGTTTACTCGTTTATAGGTAGATTTTACAGCTTTCACCTCACCCACCATTGCTAAACTTTTCAAACTTGATAATGACTTAGTTAATTTATGGTCTTATTGAGCATTATCACCACAACTCCTAACAGTTAATTCGTACCTATTTCATGATAAACTTGGGGATGAGTTTCTCGTTAACGTTAATCTGGAAATGATAGATTCAAGAACTGAAGCAGGACCGAATTAGTTGAAAAGGAATCGATCACTTACTCGCTTCCACATTCCTGATCCTGACCTCTAGGGCATGCGGGTCGTGGTGCATATCGATATAGTCTTTCATTGTAACCATTGCCGATTCCGTCAATATTCCTGAGCGGCTCAAACGGTCGCATAGGATTTTGCGCAAAATGATTTTCGCCACTGCATTCAGACAAATCTGGCGGATAACTTTTCGACCGTGCATCTCGACTCTGGAAAATTGTGAAGCAGCTGTGAATTGCTGCAATTTCTCAGAACTTATAAAGATTTACGGAATATACAAGCTCGTTTCTGATGCAGTATGAATGAAAGGAAAAGGAATTCCGGCTAAATTTGAATTTAAATCTTGGCAATTTAAATACTTGTCGATGTTGTCGCCAGTACTCCCAAATACTATCCACAAAAACGTGATGGAGGAAGAATAATGGATCATTTGCAGAGGTTGTTTGATGGAACATATCACCACCGACCCAGACAAGCGCATTTGCATGGCTATATTCGAGTGATGTCCAATCTGTTGGGTACCTGCATCCCTGTATTTTTCCACTTACATTGTTAAATTTCTTAAAATTAACAAATTATTAAGAAAAAGCTTGTTAAATATCTATTCTTTCTTTTTTTGTAACTTCCGTATGATATAAAGGCTAAAATCTTTTGAATGTAACAACCATTTTGGATATTTAACAAGCTAATTAAAAGAAAGAATAGCAAATATCATTGTAACACAATAAATGCATGTGGTGGTTAGAATTAGTATGTACAATAGTCACTGGAATAATTTATGCGAAATTGAAAGAAGCTGAGAAATTTACCGGTTGAGGAGCTGTATAAGCGAGTACACCGATTACATCTGAGTGTCTCATTACAGCTTGAATGTCATCTTCGTTCAGAGGACGTCCTTCCTGCCCAAGATGTCTAGTTATATGCCTTCCCTAGAAATAAATTTTATGCGAAATAGTTCTCCGTTCATGCACATCACAATCAACCTATTATTATAATAACTTGTTTACAACTTATAAGAAGATTATATTCGCAGAAAAAAAATATCAACATTGCTAACCTCAGGAGTTGTCCAATGAGATATAAAACCATTAATTATATTACCATATTTATCATTCTCTCCCATCAGTTCTTTGCTAAACAATATTGTATCTGTGCTTTCTGGAATCGCATTTTCAAGCGTTGAATCCCAATACGGCAACGATATGTCCGGATCGATGAGTCGAAGAGCAATTTCCAGTCTGGAACAAACTTTTTCCTGACAATCATTTCAATGTATTACTCATCTGATCCGTGAAAACAGATCAGTCATGTTGCGAGAGACATTTAAGCAAGTCAAGTCATTATCATTGTTTGCAAATGATCACTGAAGGAATAAAAAGAATAATAGTTTTCCGTATTTAATAGAACCTTTTGATGTACTCTCTATGCCAAGGTAAAAAAGCAGGCCCAGAATGTGCACCACCACTTAATGCTGGATTCGAATGCCATTGTGCAATTTGATCATAATCACCACTTTGTTTTAGTTGATCCAAAGCACTATGAAATCGTTCTCTTTCTTCTGTACTTAGTTGTCTATACTCTTTACGAACAGCCATCGAAAGTTCTTTCCCATTTGATAGAAAACATTTCAAATTTCTCAATGAACCTTAAATTACTAGATCTTCTAACTGTCTTATTACTTAGATAATTACTGAAAACGGATTTGAAGTTGGTTACCGCCACTGTTGTCACTGTGTTACTATCAGTATCATCAAAATGAAATGCTTGTGTTATCATCATTTGCCGTGGCCAAAAATTAAGAATAACGTGGCACAAATTAATTTACATAATATCTAAATTGAAGAATACCATTGAAAAATGGACACAAGCAGTTGAGATCCATGCATCCCAAAGCTTTCAATCGTTGATCTACCGTCAAAGTGTGGGATGGCGGTGTCATCATATTTGCTTGCTAAAATAAGCAGTGACCAAAGTAGATATATTTGAATTATCATTTCCGAAAGAAATTAAACATCCCTCCATAGTAAAAGGGGAGTACCGTACTCTTATGAGTACCTTTCTTTTCACCTATTTCGATACTGTCACTATCACAAGATGTAACACATTTCAAAGAAATGAATAATTTAACTTTGCATCATTTTGTCACCGTAAGCACTAACATTTCTCTTAAAGGGTCTGCTGTCTTGTGTTTCAACCGAAAATACCGGTGAATCAATGGATCTATCTGACATTCTGGTCGGTGATGGTCGTGCGGATGAAATTACAGACGGTGACGATAATGAAAATTGTTTACGAATCAAATTATTAGGTCGTTGTTGGCCAGGTGGCCCAACCGTATCTTGTTCCATCGTATACAGATCTTTCTCAACGGTATCGATTGAAGGTGGTCCTTGCACACCATTTGTGATCTTTTTGATGTGCAACTTTTGATTCGAATAATCATTCTTCAAAATTTGTTGTCGTTGACCAAATGTCGACGACAATGATAACGATGAAATCACACGTGGAGAATACGTCTTCACATTCGTCACTTGTCCATCACGTATACGGATTGGCATAGTTTGTTCTGGAATTAAAAATTTAGTAGGATGTACTATAGGATGTACTACATATGCAAATAAATACCATAAAGGATGTACTGATAGTTTTTTCTCAAGAATTTCTTTCAAGAATTTCGAAATATAAATCTGATCTCAAGCTATGATTGGAGTAAATTGCGAACAGATGTCATTTCAAGAAGCGCAAAAAGTTTTACTGTAATGAATGTGAAATATAACATTATGACAAGCCTCATCACTTCAAAATCAAAAATCCAAAAACTAGCACTTACTGGGAAGAGACGAAATTTCATATTGTATTTCGAGTGCCATTCGTTTTGGTTCATTTGAGGTGTATGTATCAGCCGTAAAGTTACTAATTAGACTAGATAGTGACGGTAATTTAACACGATGGCCAATATTGAACGGCGATTTAACGCGATTATTTGTTGGATACTGTACTACCTGTGATGACGTGCTATGAGGCAAAGTCCATGAGGACCAACTAGTCCAACTTTGAGAATTACTTGCCCATCGAGATCGACTGATTGACCAAATTTTTTGTGAACTCCAAAATGGGCGTGATTCGTTGAGAGAAATGGAATGACGTTGCTAAAAATGTTTCATTTTAAATGTAAAACTGAATGCTTTTTTCCATTTCATAATTTACTGATAACTCCCCACTCTCCTATCACCAGGATATTCCAAAAGTGCTTGTTGACGATTTATGGTGAGATTTCACTCATCAAACCATTTCGTTCCGTTTACTCTTTCATTATCATTTTTATTCGATTACTTCATCTCTGCTATTTCTAATGAGATTTCATTTGAATTAAATTTTCTGTCTTTATATTTATGAGTTAAAAAAAAAATGAAAACATTTTGATTGATAATAGGAGTGGAAAAAAATAATTAAATTCATTGAAAAAAAAATTAAATTCGAAATTGATTAAAAATCTAACTAACCCTAACAATTGTATCCCATTTTTTTAATTGTGAGCAGACAATTTGAAGAACTGAATTGGGCGCTTGATCACAGAATGTAAGACGAATCTTGTACTGAGTACCAATGGAATATGTTAATAATGTCAGTAAAGTAATTAGCACTGGTAAATGCATGTAACAATGAAATATCTGAAATATTAATGAGTAGGTTTATCAGCTTAATTTCATTCTACACGGTGGTAACGGAAGATTTCAGCATTTATTACTATATTATGAAAGATGATGGAACGTATAAGTGGTATTTGACGAACATTTGAGCTGAGCATTTTTTCAAATCAATAAATCTTTGAAATGTGATATCCAACTACTCGGGAATTGATACCTTTGATCTGCTATCCTGAAGAAATAGCACACCGAATCCTGTTAGTGTCAAAAGTTTTCTGACATGAATAGATAACTAACAACGTCAGTTACATTGCTTCAATGATTACCAAACTAAAATGCACCGGGAAATTTCATAATGTCGAACACTGTACTATTCCAGATATCGTGTAACTTGTCTCTTCCCATTTAAATGAGTTCACTATGCGGATAGAAGTGCGACAAAAGCGCATGTACACCAATGAATGACACTTCAAAAGTTTCAGTGCAGCTAAGAAATGTTTGTGAAAACTTCAAGGAGCAGATTTTTATTTGATGAGAAGGGCTATTTGCTGATAAATACAAACAGTTAGAGAAAAATAAGTTTGGTTGATTAGTCAGAGATGAAATAATCAAAAATATTTTCTCTTTCCCCTCCCTACCCCCCTCCTCCCTCCAAGAAAAAATAAAATAAAAATAAACAAACATTATCCAATCAATCATTTCTCTCTTTATCTTGTAAGCTAGAATGATAATAGATAAGGGAGGAAAGAGATAACTGATACTACTCCAAAAGTGAAAGAAATATTTTGCGCTTTAACTTCATTCCAGCAAAAGTATCAAACATTGAAATGAATGGAAGACTTAAATCATTTAAATGGACTATAAATTTTAATCGACTAAAATCATCAGAAAAGCAATGAACGATAAATCATTTAAATGAGAATATATGCGTTGTTGAGTATTTTATGCATGAAAATGGCTGGAAAGGTTTCGAACATTAACAGTAATAGAAATAAAGAACACTTCCATCAATTGATAATTAATAGGATTGATGTGACAAAGTGGGATTTGCAACTTATTCATTGGTCTAATTATATGGATTACGAATCATACATCAGTTGATATTGATAAGACGACTAGGATACTTATATTTCATCCGATATCTTATATAAAACTACCTTTTTGCACCTATTATTATGGTTTATCCGTGCTTAAATTCTAAAAAGTTTCGGAATTTCTCCCGAGAAATCTTTTCACTATCAACTGATATCCCGATACAAAACTAGAAAAGGAAGCATCTGACATAGTTTTCAAGCTAACAAATAAATGATAAATATAATTGATTTGAAAATTTGTTCCTTTCGTTTAAAACTTAACATTATGAAGTAGAAATTGAAAATTTTGCCCAAAGTTTATCATTCAGTTTTGCAATGAAAAATGTTATGAAAGTAGCAGTCATTCAGGTAATTAAGTTTGGAGAGTTGCCCGCGGAACCATAATTACCCATTTCTTCCCTATCTTTTTCCCTAGTACAGCAGACAAGTAAAATCATTTTTTCTTTTGCCAGAAATTACTCGTCGTTTCAGATATAAATTTTACATTTTAAAAATTTACCAGTAGAAAGTTGTTTGATTGTAAAGTAAACAGAACTGGTCGTTATTCTAGTAAATCTAAAAATTTATGGACAATAAGTAACAGTGTGGTTTAATTTGAATTTTACCAAAAACACATTTTGTGATTTAAAGAAGAAAAATAAAAAAGTTTGTCTCTTGAGTATTAATTAATTCATTTTGTAAGGAAATGAGAGATTAATCCTAATTTTTGAATTTAATCCTAATTAATCCTAATCTTAATCCTAATTTATTATTCCTAATTTCTTGAATTTTGGAATTTTAAGGATTAATCAAAGTTGCATAATTATTGTAATCAGAATATCAAAGTAATGATTTTTATTATAATACTCGTCCTATTACTAATTAAATTGTCGCTTGTAAAATCTTTCGGGAAAAAAAACGAATTTTTAAAATTCTTTTATTGTTGCAAAAAAAAATGAATTGAAATTAACCAATCTTCAATTTAATTCATATTCAATGTTAATCGTTTGTGACGCTACCTTAATTTCTTTGGAAATTCCCAAAAAAAGTTTGTCATTTATTGCTGAATTTCACTTCTGTCAAACGATGAAATAAATTTGAAATTTTTTTTAGAGATTCCGTAAATGACATAATTACAAATCAACCAAGTAACAGGCCGAGCACTTTTTTTTCAGGAAAATTTAGCGACGTTTAACTAATATGTTCACCACATCGTTTCAGTGATGCTCAAAATTTTTGTTTTCATTGTCGCAATAATATATTTAAACTAGGGAAAAAAGTAAAAAATCCATTCGTTCGATTTAATTTTCAACAAAGTCTTTTCATTTATGACTATAAATGATAGCATTGTGGAGAAGAATATATCAACACCGATTGGGATAGGTGTTGATATGAAGAAATGATCGAGAAAAGCAGGTGGAATTTCTTTTTTTTTAAAAAAAAAGTAAGAATGAAATTCTGGGAAGATATAAGAAGATAGCTGAAAAACCTGCAAGTTGTGGTATAACGAGAAATTCAAATCACGATATTTCTTGGATCTTCAGATGAAAATATAACGATTCAGGATCGGGAAAGGATATTTTTATGAAACTGGAAGTACTACCAGTTTTATTTAATTTCGCAAAAGTAAATCATATATTTTGAAATTAAATTTCCTCAGGAGTAATTTCAAAAAGAGTAAAAGAAGACTGGAAATGTTAAAAAACTACCACTTCTCATCTCTTTGCTATTTCAACTCTTTTCACATTTCCGAAACATTGCAAAACAAGAACTGTCAGATATTAATTAAGAAGGAGAAGTAAAGCTGGTAGGAAAGTTGTGATAATGAAAATGAAGAGCTTATCATGAAAACAATGTAAATGAGAGGAAGAGAAGGAAAGGTTGAAGGAAGAGGAGGGATTAAGATTAAGACAAAACTTTGAAGAGATGATTCATTATAACTGCCTTTATTCTATGTATCGCAACAACGGCCTTGATAATATCATCTTTTTGTTTGTTCAATTAAGCTCTTAGATTATTGTTATCTTTAATTAATCCAGCTCAAGTTTAATTTTAGGATATACCAATCGTAAGTGGTAATTATCATTAGGATAATAGACAGCAGGCTAATGAAACATATGTTTTCGTTGGCGTGAAGGATTACGTTTTATTACCCTCTTTGATGATTTTGGCTAACGTCTGCAGAAAGAGAAAGTGTGATAAGTTATAAGTAATGAAAAGACCTATCCGATTTTCCTGGAAATCTACAATCGATGATGGAATATTTTCCGGATGTAACAATCAGAGGGAACTTTGCATGTAAAATTGCCTATTTATTTCTATTACAAATTCCACAGTAATACTTTTATTTTATGAGCTTTTGAAGTTAAAATGGTCGACCTTCAACTTCATAATTTAAGGCCATTATTGTATTGCTATAAGTTATTGCTATTCAGATATCAGTTAGTAAATTTTTGAAAATTTTGCTTAAGCTTGAAGGTTATTTAAAAACAGAAAAGTTGTTTTTGTTTGTTTATGATCAAGTTATAAAATTTCTGACTTCTGTCTTTTCCGGTTAAGACTAAGGGTTTTTTTTGTCTAAGTAAGCATTTATGTGTTACAAAGCTAACGAAAAAAAAAAAAGGTAGAAAGCTTACGACAATGAAAAAGTTAGTCGAGTCAAAACTAATGAAATGAACAGAAGTTTCTCGAATAAAACAAGAATCGAGAATCACCACTGAAATTTCGCAAAATCACGGTGAAGGCATTTTTATATTAGGCTGCATTTCCATGAAAAGCCTTATGTTCATATATAAATGGAGTGCTGTGATGAGTGCGACATCGTATGCAAACAAAAAAAACATTTCAAAAAATATTTTAAAATATGCGCGGTAACTGCACTTTTGAGAGATGCGATAGTTGAGGGATTTCAAAATGTTGCTCTTTCTCTTTTCATTGGAAGACTACCTTAAGACTGAACGTCACCTTTTGACAACTTTACCTTTTGGACCTTGGCATACTGATGGAGATAAGCTGATAATATTTGCAAGTTGCTGCATTCTTTGGACTCCTAATAGTAGCAATATTTAATGTTTCAGTAATATTTAGCAATTTTGAAACGGATGACTTTTTGAAATGATTATGATTCAAAATTTGACCTTGAACTTTTCTGTATCCCAATTATCTTTTTTCCTGTGATAATCCCAAATCCATTTGAAACTATTGAGAAGCGGTGATTATCATGGCCAGATTTTGCAAACGAGAATTTGAGAAGAGATTTCCATACTTGCTGCAAACATCACAAATGTGGGTGTATCTTTCCAATCTACGCAATAGATTTTTTTAGCACAGCGTGCGCGGAACTGGCCTACCTTCTACTTCAAGATCATATGCCAGAGCCTGCCCGAATTAGGAAGGCGACAGTGAAGTCCTCAGGATGTTTGTTGGTTTTCCGAGAGTATCCGTCTTTTAAATGAATGGCCCTGCATGATTAAACGAGCTCCATCTGCCTAGGTTTGGAGTTATGCTTGCCCTTTCCTGAGATAATTGCCGGGAGTCTAGTGAGTCCATCCTTCTCGTGGACACACTCTCGCTGACCCTTCCTTTTTCCCTCTCGGCGGCATATGCCGCCGGAAATCTCGCAACTCATAAGGACACGCTTCTCCCCTGCGACAAGGGGCTGTCCGTGGAAAAGATCATAATAACAGGCAAATAGGAAAGAAAAAGGGTGGAAGTTTTAGTGCTGATGGCTGAGTGCTTTATTTGAAATTTGTAAGATTTCAAAGGGAACAAAGAAACTAATCGTTGTTGCTCATTTTCGCCATTATTTTTCCGCTCTCTTCCCGTTACCCCTCTCAATGTTTTCAAACTCTAAAGAGTGCTTTTGTGGTATTTGTAATTTATTGCTCAGAATTAATCATATACTAATTTTAGTGACGCCTTTTTCTTCAACGAATTAAATTTTCTGCGATTTCTTTCCGCAAAGTGATTTTTGCACTGTTTCTTCAAAATTTGTTCCACGAAAAATCGGGAGAAAGTTATCAAAATGATGAGTGTTTTGCAAAATTTTTGGCGATTTTAGAATTTGAAATCATATTTTTGTTAAATGCTCCAAAACTATGGATAGAACATGGACAAAAAGTAGAAAATAGTTAAAATGTAATAATCTTCATCATCCGGTCCATTGTTTCGATTCCATTTACGTATTGTATCCATCTGCTAATTCCAAAATCTTTTCAAATAAATAATTTACTTAATATTAATTAATATCATACATATAAAATACATGTCCTGTGAAGAGAAATTCAGTTATCCACAAAAAAACGACTAGTTGTAAAATTTAAAAACTTAGTGCATGTCAAGTTTCATTAGAAATTAATGTAAGTTTCGAGAAATATAACAAGATAACACATTGGTAAGGATATGATTAAAATATATCATAATAATAATAATCATCGACCACAGTTGGGACAGAGTGTTTGAAAGATAAATCTGATATAATACGACATTTTTGACGTAGTTGCCACTGATCCAAACATGAGCGACAGGAACGTCGACAGTTTTCCAGCATCCAAGCATTCATACTACATTCACCGTGTGCCGCCCACTCTGGACAGCTACGGTGATAATCATTGCACGCTGAAAGCAACACAATATTTACATATCATCACTACATCATCACACTCTAAAAGCAACCTAATATTTACATATCATCACTACATCATCACATTCTAAAAGACGTCATAGACGCTATCTGAAAAGCAAGCTTGTGTTTCGTTGAATAGAATGAGTTGTTTTGAGAGGATTCAACTGAATTTGAACAAGTAGCACTCAGTGAAAATGTGAAATTTTCGAAATTCTAAGAGCAAATTGAAGGAGTGTTATTACTTTGATGAATTAAATCAATCAGTCAAACAAGTTTGGTTTCTGTGAACCTCTGAGAGAAAAATAAGCCAAAGACTGAATTTCATTTACTAAACTCATTTGGAAGTTGATTTAATTACATTTAGTAACTAGTTAATAGAGTTTAAAAATTGAATTCTACTCAAGTGAAGAAAAAACATCGGTCAATAAAGATATTTCCAAGTATTGGTATGTGAAGACTCGATCATTGTCTAAGCATTATTTTAAATGCAGTAGAACTTACTTCCATAGTCGTAATCAGCTGGAATACATAGGCCACAACTCACTTTACAACTGCATGCTACCCAGGTGAAATTACGAGAGCATTGTCCTTGTAAACCCCATAGTGGACAGCAAACATTTTCATTGTAACATCCGGGTGAATTGCAGTGAAGAAGATTTATCTTTTCAGGTTGTGGTCGACGTGTTGTTGTCACTAAAGATAAGTAAGCAAGTAAGTAAGTAAGTGAGAAATAGGTAAGTAAGCAAGTAAGTGACTGTGTTAGAGTTTTTTTTCAAATTTAAACTTTACTTCAGAGCAAATTCGCATAAATACTTGAAGTTCAAGTAAAAAGAAAGTGCTAGATAGGTTAGTGTGAGCAACAAGCAAATTTAAATACTTGAAGAAAAAAAAACCAAGCAAGATATCGAAGTTTGATGTTGAAAATTTTACAAATGAACTTTGAGCCGCTCAGAAATTTCAAAAATAAAAATTTGTGCAAAAAAGAAAAGCTTTCAAGCTGCTCAAATAATCACCATGATGATGAGCGCCACTGCAAATTTGTGTCCTCGTTCGATCACAATGACGACAGCTTTGACGACAATTTTCCTTCATCCATTTAGCGTTCGCCAAGCATTCACCGTTTCTCGCCCATCGCTCACAGTTCTCGTGATGATTCGAACATTCTCGAATTTTAATTTAATAATTTCTCAGGCGCACTTTTGCAAACAAATTTGATAATAATGCCTGTGCCATAATATTTGTAGTGCTATTTTTAAAAGGAATATATCAAAACTATTTTATTATATTTCTGAAAGCTTTCTGATTGAAAATTAAATCAATCAAGTTTCAAAATTTCCAGTTCAAATATCAAACGGGTTGTGGCGTCCTCACGTTAGCATGAACTGTGGCGCTTTTGTACTCAGCATAAATTGATTGTCATTATAATAATGATCGATGTAGAACTGTGAGAAGTTTTAACTGTGACTCTATATATAGATTGTCAAATATTACGGATAATGAGATAAATACTGAGATTATTATCCCAATATGTTTTATTTGATTCATTATGACTCTATGGTCGAAAGGAATGAACTCTTGAATGTACTGATAAAACAATGCACAGTTCACTCCGGAAAGTTGAGAATTTCGAAAAATTTCCTTGGAGAGATTATGAAAAATACACTAACCGATATTAGGATTGAAATTAGGTTGACAAATCTGACATGAAACTTTGCACCATTCATGCATGTAACCTTTGTTTCGATCGCATTCGCCCCGTTGTGCCCAATACTGGCAACATTCATTCTCGTTGTAACAATCTGCATTTATCGATACAACCGGTGTTTTTTTGTTGACAAAGGGATAGGGGGTGGTGTGATCAGTGGGATCTGAAAATAGTAGGATCTGAAAAGCTGGATCTATACATTGCTTGGTCATTGGGGATTGATGGAAGTGGTAGGAAAATTTTTTGGAATTAGCGATTAACGGAATATGATATTATTCTGATTTGTGGATAAGAAATGTTTCAAACAGTTACACATTCTAGCATACCGAAGAGGAACGAGTAGCAACACATCGTCCTTCAACACATTCTCCATTATGACACACCTGTTCACCCCTCACAAATCCAGAGCAACGTCCACCAATTCGAGCCTGTGATACGCATCGAGGTTGTCCATGGGATCGATCACAAAATAGATATCTGATCGTAAATAGCTCAGAAATATTCTTTTGAATAGATAACAATTAAAGCTAAATCTCAGGTATCTTATAGTTGAACCGTATTCTAGGTTTGAAATATCGTGGATATGACAATGATGCAGAATATTCATTCCTTGCTCCCATCAGAGGTGCACAATTCTCAGTTTTATAAAGATTATGTTTGTAGTATTAACCAACCTTGGAAGACAGTGATAACTTTTCTTAGAACAGACTTGCGTCTCTGTCACGGGATCTTTTCCATTTTTAACAAATGCAGTCTTACTCTTACTTACTTCGATCCACAGTTTAATCCACTTAAACAAGTTGGGCGTGGTGTATATTCATATAGATTGTCAGTGTAGGCATTACTCAAACCATCAATGTTTCGTAATGGTGTGAAAGGCCTCATCAACGTGGAACCGAAATGCAGTGCGCTACTGCATGCCTGATTATCAGGTGAGTAATCATTCTCACGTTGATATCGTGTCTGAAAAGTAACCACTCTTATGTAATCCCCTCGTTTTAGTACTTTTTTCGAAATAGTACGATGATAAAGTTAAAATAAACACTGCAAAAGGTTTAAAATTAAAATAATTAGACCTGTTTTTGTTGTCTGTACATTTCCCAAATATAATCGACGAATGAATGATGTAGGTAGAATAACGGATCGTTTCCGGATGTGTATGGATCGTACATATCACCACCCACGAAAATGTGAACATTACCATGTGTGTATTCCAAGGCATTATAGTTAGCGCGATATTGACAACCCTTTAATAAATGAGTGCCTGCTACTAATTTCCAACATGAATTAATTTCCAGATATCATCTATTATAATCATTGGTCATCATGACTGGAAATATAGCCACTGAAAGTAATAGCCTCCGTTACGGAGATAATCCTTTGAAACTCTTCAAGTTAGCAATACACTTAAAAAATATAAAATATATATGTATAAAGATTGTATCAAAAATGCCTCCAGAAGTAATACCTGTCTAGGAGCGGTAAATGCGAGAATATTTTCCACCCGATTTTGTTGCAGGAACCAATTCAGATCTGATTCCTTGAACGGCGATCCTTCCTTTCCAACTTGACGCCTTATGTTTGGATGGTTCTATTTTTTCATTTTATTTTTTAAATTCAGAATCGAATCAAAAAGCATCAAATGGGAAAGGGATTTCTTTTACCATTAAGTTTTACCATTAAATCAGTTAATTGGTCATATACATATAGTATTACGCCGTTTGTCGATATTTCGTGATCGATGGTAGCAACAAAGTCAAATATAAAGTAAACTTGAACCTCAAATGTGACAAAATTAGCAAAATCTCCTCCGGTCACAGCTCCATTTGCATTGGTTGTGCCCATCAATTCATTTGTCCACAATACTGAATCTTGCGGATTCGGTAATCCACTATCCAGAACTGAATCCCAGTACGGGATGGAAACGGAAGGATCAATTTGTCGGAGAGCGATCTCAAATCTTTTTGCAAAAAGGAAACACTTGTTAATTCAACGGAGAAATAATCTGAAGAAAGAATTGAATGAGGTAACAAAATTAGGGATACCTTTTGATGAATTCTCGGTGCCATGGAAGAAAGGCAGGTCCAGAATGCGCACCGCCGCTAACTGCTGCACGGCCGTGCATTAGCGCCAATTTATCATATTCGCCAGAACGTTTGAGTTGTATTAAAGCGTTGTGGAATCTCTTCCGCTCTTGATCAGTCAACATCCGGTATTCTTTCCTGACAGCTTTTGTTAGCCATGAACCATCCGGTAAATAGCACATTCCACCCGCTTGGGTCCGACCTGCCATTACAGTCACCAAAGAGGCGCTTATTTCTTTTTAATCAAACTAAGTAGTTATGAATCGATTCGATTTTTAGAAGTAATTTTATTTCATAAGGAAGCATAATAGTTCCAACTGGCGGACGAGGATTAGCCGTAAGTATATGAAATTTTCAATGTTAAAAATGGAAAGAATGTTAAAAATGGAAGGAATGAGTCTATGGTTTAGGAACAGTAAAATTATTCGAAAATAAAATGCATCGAAAATATGAAAATAGGTATATGAACATGACAAAAGTGAACATGAAGTCACATTAATCACATGAATTCTCTCGTTACGTAATTAAATAATATGACGTACGTGTCTTTGGCAGCTAAAAGTAACTGTTTACGGAATTGATGGAAATTTATTCGCAGATTGAATTATCTTGTAAATTATTGAAAGCCTCATAAACTTTTCATTTTTTCTCGAGTAATTTATGATTTTGAAAGAAATGGTCCTCACGAAGGAAGATATTTTTTTCTTTTCTTTTTTTTACAAAATGTTAGCTTCTTCAAGTTTGCAGTGGTTCGCTTTTTATCACTTCTGTCCTCCGATTTGTCCACTACTCCATCGGTTGCAATGTTTCGGTTCACTGTTATCAGATTTTTAAGCATAATGTTTAAATTTTAAATAAGTATATCTTTTAAACAATTTTTGTAGAATTTCGCTTCCTAACAAAAATTTTTTCAGCCGAATATTACTATTTCATTATTATTGTAGTGTTTTATAGTAAGATTATGCCATGATGAGTAACAACTCATGAGATGAGTAACAACTCAGAAATTTTAAAATTTCTTTCTTTCTTCCCATGGAAAGGTTAACCGAGCAATCAATATTAGACATTATGTCTCTTCACCTGGTACCTGTGTCTTTAATTGAAGAAATACTTTGGCACGAGTAGTGATAACTTGATAATCTTTGCAAAGTTGTGATGTCATCTTATGGACTCAGTTTGGGTGATGAGTAATTTTCAAATTGTAATGAAAAAGTTTCAGAAATCAAAGAATCACTTGCCTCGTAAATATGTACAGAGACATTCGAGATCCAAGCATTGATAAGGAGTGGAAGTAATAGGTGCAAGTTGTGCGGCGATCATTCGACCTCTTCCTGGGATAGCAGGTGGCGATACAGCAAACGATCCCACTGGTGGTTTGGCCTACAGTTTGGTATTGCGTTAACTTTCATATTTTGAAATCTTCCACAAAATATTTTTTTGGAAAATCTTCATCCATCGGTAAAATCAACCTACCCGAGCTTTCCTGTCCCATTCATGTAGCTGATTACAAATTATGCGCGCAGACGCCGATGGTGCATCAGCGCATGGATTCGGAAATTCCTGAGCTAAATCTGCTACAGTACTATAAGGTAGAATAGAACATGATATGAATAATAAGAACATTCTTTCTTCTCAGATTTCGGATCGAGTCGTTTTCTGACCAGACTATTGAGAACTAGCAAATATGTAATGCTATTCACTTAAAGAAGTAGAAATGCTATTCTTGACGATAAGTTCGAGAGCAAGGAGATGATGCTACTTTCAGACCACTCCAAGAATTATTCCAACAAAGAAATCATTTTTGTCGGGGACAAAGAAACCAACGGGTTTACCCAATCAGCAAAAATTCCAAGGTTACTGACGCATGATGTACTTGTAGGAAACAGAACTGAAGTGTAAGTCGGAGGTGGGGTGTATCCTTCTCTAGACTTTTGGAGGAGAAGTAATGACAACACGACAAGTTCGGTATTGGCTGTTTTGAGTCGATGAAAGTGAGATGATGAGGACGGCATTTTGATGGCAATTATTTGGTAGAAAAAGTTTCAAGTGGTTTTTCTTTTCTGCAGGACAGCTCGATTGCTTCTTCTACGCTGTTTTCTCGCTGCAATTGCCTATCTCCATTTCATGTCATCACTTTTACGTCCTATCAAATCAAACAAAATCAATGCCACCTTACCACTGGATATGCAGGAATTACTGTATCAAGTGTCTTTTGCGCCCATCTTCCAACAAGACAGCAGACATCACAGTAATAGCCAAGAAATTCCTTTCGTCTGAATCAGCCTAGGAAACAAGATGTATTACAACAATAACATGTTTCAATTACCAACGTAAAGTAAGGTGTAAACTAACACCTAATAAAAGCATACTTTAAGTATGGAACATAAGTCCCAAACTGACCATCCTTATATCTTCCTGTGATATTATTCCGCCGTATTTTTGTTTTTGAAGAAAAAAAAGATATTCCTGTACTTTATTCAAATTTATTATTGTAAAGTCGTGAACTTTGAGTCTCATCCGCAAACTTATATGTTTCGGTTCTGTCGTTTGATAACATGAAAAAAAAACAATCTATCTGTCACTGTGAGGTTTGCCCATGTCGAATGACATGACTTTATTCAAGTAAAAATAAGTATTTACAGCATGGTATATATACAATTTAATAATTAAAAATAAAACGATTTCTTTCCGAAGTTAGGGTATTTTACCCGCTTAAAATATAAACTGCCTCAACTGTCAGTCAAGATAAAATGTACAAATTAAAGCAATGTCATGGAATCAAATAGAAAACCTGAACAGAATTACTGGAGGTTACATGAAAAACACTCAGAAAGAAAGGCACAGAATGTAAAAGTAGTCGGAATTCTTCACTTTTCTGGTCAAAAAAAGAGATCATCCGGTGAATGGGTTTCAAATTTCCTGCTTTTCCTCAAAAATTCTGTTCGTCATTTTATTTGTATTTTAAATCATACCAATTCTACCCTGTTTTCATTTCTTACATTTTTTTCAAAGCCTTTTAAAATTTACACTTCATGCACCACAAATGATGCATCTTTCAACTGCAACTTTGCAACACCACTTCGAATACGCGCACTGTCAATTGTTTCAAGGAACTGTTTGCAGTTAAACGCCAAACGATGACTTATTTTCAGCACTTCTCTTCTTAATGCTTCATAAGCTTCCTGAAATCTCCCTACATCAGTGTGACAGTATTAGAGGTTATGAGAAACAGGGACCACTTCATCAAATCTGAAAATATTATGAATTAGGGAAAAAACCATATAGCTACCTCTCCGTAGTGCAGTGATTCAATTATAAAGGAAACCAAAATAATTTATAGAGTAGATGAAACCTAGCAAAGTAACTTCAAGCTCTACCTTGCTGATATCTTCTTCCAAAACTTTTTCCATGACTTCCGACAGGTTACGCAAATCTGATTCCAAAAGTGTCTCAACAAGTTTTACTTCCTGCTGATCAGAACTGCTTAAAATTGATACGTGTTGGATGGATTCATTAAATAAATTTCCCAAATGATCCATGATAATCTGTAATATAGTTTTCGAGTAATTATGTACAAGTTTGATAAGCAACTTTAGAGTAAAAATTAATACATCTGCTATTTGCTTAGATTTACGGTATTGTATGAATGACTTGTTGGTGGTTCCTTAATGGAATTTAATTTAATTTTGTAGTCAAAAAGTTACTAATAACACATAACAGAACAACACATACCGGTTATGAACACGCTTATGACATGCAATGATGCGCTATGAGTGCAATATAGATGCAATTATGAATGTTACATAATTAAATTTTCACCCTATGTGAATATGTGATTGTGACACAGAGAATGGAGGAGTGATGCAAGATTAAACATACTTTAACACATTCGCTGAAATGTCCATTCGTCATTGTCGTATGAAACTCCCTGGATAAATTTGTTACTGCACCAATCAGTCTAAAAACAGCTCCATGCACTGTATCACTACGGCGGTCGAATTTATAACCCGGTGGTATGTTCTTTTCTTCGTTTAACATCGGTTGTTTTTTGGAAAGTGAATTAATATGCTGCTCGCGAACTGTTGAAAGTGCTGGCAACGGTAACTGTAAAACCTTTTCCAACTATTTCCAAAAACTTACACCTTTTGAAAGGTAAAGCGGAAAAACCTTCACAAAGAAGATAAAAATTCTAAACGTCCCAATTCATCAAGACTTTCCGGTTATTATTGTATCTCACGGTTAACATAAGAGCATAGTGTATGACTGTGCATCTTGAACATGTCTGACTAATCCAGTAGTTAACTCATTTAGCATTGAGATATCCCCGCTAAGCATAAGATACGAACGGTTCGGTTAATTTTGTCAAACTAGGCAAAGACATCCAGTATACATTGCGATTAACGGACAGCTGTGAACTTTCGAATGTCCCAGTGTATGGGATTTCAAAGATGTAGACTATGTCTTTTTTTCTGTTGCTCTTTTAAACTTAGATAACAAAAGCTACAGTCCTGAGAAAAAGTTACAAGCTTCTGTTCCTCCTCTTCAAGCCACCTATCATCCTCCTCCGACTGAATTCTTTGCTGCTCCAATGTACGCCACAACGTTGATGTTGGCATCGCTGCGGAATCTACTTTTAATACCGGCGCCACCTTAATGAAACAAAAGAATCGATAAAAATATATTATTGAATGGAAAATGTAATGAAGAAATATCTCTATTATCAGTTTTCGATTTAGCCCTAGTTCGAAAATATTTAAAAATGAAAAGAAATACCGTTAGAAAACCATTTGTTTGGCCTTCCTGAACCAACGCATTGATTTCCTGCAAATTAACGGAAATATCTATTTCAATTTATGCGAATAGCAAAGATAAAAAATGAGAATGAACATTAGAAACGTACGTTATCAGAAGGTGCTGTAAGTAATCCGAAGGGAACATGGCAATCAATTTGAACCAGCAGGAAGCCAAGATAGCGATTAATTTCAAATATTGTTGGTCTTTTTGAAGCTTCCAAATTCCACATACGTCTGAAAAAGAATGAGGGTTCCAGAATTATGGAGATATTCAATTTAGTAAAAAAAATTTGAACACAAAACCAAAAAACAAATGAATTGTTTTAATTCATACTGTTGTCTTGTGTTACAAAACTCACATCAATAAGCTGTACAGAACTTGTGGACAATTATGAGGTCTTTCAAGTCGTTCGCCACCCTCAATTTTCAATATAACGTTATGATTTCGAACACCTTGCCACGGTTTCACGCCATACGTAAGTATTTCCCACATACAAACACCTGTAACTTTTTGTAGATAGTGAGAGTTAAAATTATGATAAATTAGAGAATGACGCAAAATCCAGCTTCACATAAATTTGATAGATATCATAATTCTTCGACAAAATAACTAGTTCCAAATTCTCAAAGAAATGAAATGGACTCTCGAAAATCATCTCTTATTTGAAAGTTCACAGATAGTTCTCATAACACGAAACACAATTTCCTCCTTAATTCATGTTAGAACTGATTTAGATGAAGAGCCGAAGTAAAAGAAAACAAAAAAAAGGGAAATTTGCCCTCACCTTTAACTACTGAATATTTCAAAATGTCAAGAAATTAATTTTCGAAATGTCAAGAAATTAAAATTCTGAACCGGTAATATTTCCATTTCTAAGGTCTAAATAACTAATAATAGAAAAAAATTTTCTTCTGAAAACAGGATCGAAGATGAGCTACAGTAATCACAAGTTTTGATAAGAAATCTAAGTCCTAAATCCATACCAAACATCCAAACATCGGTAGCCTTACTGAAACAGCGGTAATTAATTGATTCCGGTGCCATCCATTTAATCGGAAGTTTGCCTTGAGATGCTACAAAGAACTCGGATTAAAAAGGACAATTCTTAATCAAAAATTTACAATGCACTTTGATTAGACTAGATCTAAGATCTAAGGGATAGCTCATATTGGAGCAACTAAAAATTGAGCATGAGCAAAATTTAAATGTAGTGTTTTAAATTATGTATCTAGAAACTGGATCGCAATAATAAAAAAAAAAAAAAACTAGCTGAGAGAATGAATTCTTTAGATGAATGGATAAAAGAAAATTTTCTGCCCACAGTCATCCATAAACAATATTTACCTGTATATACATTATCCTCTTCAACGCAACGACTTAGACCAAAATCTGATAACTTCACGCAACGTGGCGAAGATAAGAGGACGTTACGAGCAGCAATGTCTCGATGCACATATTTACACGAATGCAAATAAACTAAGGCAGAACTAAGTTGCAGACTGAATAGAAGTTGTACGGATAAATCGACTGTCGCAGTGTTGTATAACAAATACTGCCGCAGCTGTAAAGTTTCAAATGCTTAAATAGTGCTATAATTGTCGCCAGTACTAAGCCATTTGATCATTAAATGCAACGCTTCATATCACAATGAAGAAATTACATGTCAGTAGATGATGCAAAGCAAATCAAAGGATATAACTTTTAACTTAACTGCTAGTTGTTCAATTCTTTTAATACGTGATAGAAAATGATAAAGGGAAATCTCTTAATAACCGTCGAAGACAGGTGAAATTTTCTTTTTGTTATTGTGAGAATGAATTTTTTGAATCAGATTAAATGAGAATACTTCAAATTCCTATATTTTTTCTGAAAATTGGCAAACTTTCCGAATTCTTCAAAGCAACATACTTCGCCAAGCGGCGCCAATTCCATCACAATCCAAATAGGCTTTTCGATACAAATTCCCACCAATGCAATGATATGTTCGTGATGAAACTGATGCATTATAACTGCAGAAAATGAAATATAGTGAAAAAATTAAAAGCAACTATTCTGAAGTGATTTGGACGACGAATACTTGCGAGACCTTAAAATAATAAATTATTTTTCCCAATTCTTTCAACTTTCAAACTCAAAAATAATCCCAATCTAAATAATCGTCAAACTTACAAGCTTCTTCCAGAAAATTCTGTCTTTCCGTTATTGCGTTATCCAATTTACAAACTTTTACAGCAACCGCATCCACAACACCATCCTGAAAGGCTTTTATTGATTGGAAAGAATTCAGACTGCAGTACAAAGAAAACCAAAATGAAAAGAATTGAGAAAATTTTTCCATTTCAAACCTCCTTCATAAATGTTCCTCTATAAACATTGCCGAACTGGCCATCGCCCAACAGTTCTTCTAGTGTTACTTGTGAACGAGCCACAAGAAGATTAGCATCTAAAATCAAAAATATGATTAATCCTGAGAGGCTTCTAAAGATAAATTTTGACTTTTCATTAGACGGATTACCTTTAGAAGGAGTAAGTGTTAATTCTCTTTTTACAAAAGCCATTTTCATTTCTTGCTTTTTTATCTCATCCAGTAATTCTGAAACAAGTGCAACAATTACTAATAACGGAAACCGCAAATAATATGGCTCCTTTGATTTATTTGTAACGAAGTACACTTTAGTAATGGAAGTTAAAGCAATTGTTCTTGAAATGTAAAAATAATATTTCATTTTATTTTAAAGAAATTCTGAAAACCTTCTAAATCAGTAAAGTAGAAGGCCAAAAATAATTATACCAGATGGAGTCCAAATGGATCCCTGCTGTGACAGTAGCATATTATAACCATTGATAAGATGTGCTAATGACTCGGCGATTGACCACGTTGGCAATGTAATTGACTAAAAAAATTTAAGCGCATATCTATCATGATCAACAAATAAATCACCAGCATACTTCGAATTATTTTCATGTTAGTTTATTCACCATTACATTTCAGGAATGATTAATGAGAAAAATACCAGCTGCTGCGAGCTTCCGGTTATTTTCAAATTAACTACAGTTTTTTCGGATTTTTCGTCCAATTTCAACAACTTCAAATTGATAATGTACTCCAATTTCGCCAACAAAATAGGCTGAAAGTAAAAAAGTAATATTGAAAGGAAAGATTTATCCATATTACTATAGGTGCGTTATAAATAGTCAATTAAACTAAAAATAAGCCAAGATTAATAAAGCTGGTAGACTACTCAGCAGTTGCAAGAATTCAGAATGGAGATAAAATACGATGTGTTAAATGTTCAGTAATAAGAGACTCTAACCTCGAATTTTGTTTTATAACCCATAACTATAACTATCGTTTTTGACTAAATCAAATTCGTAGCTAAGTAGCTGATAAACAATTTCACAGCCACACAATAATGAAGGAAAATAAATAACTATCTGAAAACCACAGCAGGTTAGCGTTACTACATGCCTTTTGCGGCTACCAGGTAGCATAAATATTATAATGTAGCAATTTACAAAATATTTTGCAGTAAAACTGCAACAAATACTAGTGTTTAAGGACAAAAGTTCATACTCCTCGACCGCGTCCATCTGCATCGCAGGAAATGCCAACAGCCATACCTACCATAACATCTAATGGATTCTTCCAAACAACCTGAAGTAAATTACCTGCATTTATTAGAAAGATGTCTATATTATGAGAATTTCGAAGATAAACACAAGAGAAACATCTGAAAATCAAATAAAAAACAGTTAAAGAATAGAAATGTTTAGTCTTTAAGGGTATATAAAAAACTGCAAGGAAAGGTACAACAGAAACAACAAAACATACGCCCAAAGAAGCTTTAAATATTTCAGTGTCAAACTGCGTTATTCGTTTGACAATTTTCAGGAAGTGGAAAATACATTCTGTAGGCGTAAGCAGTGAATGCCTCTTTACTGCAGCTATTAATGTTTTCCTGAGCATTTTCGACTGGAAAAGCAGGTTGGTTCAGTTTAATTCAGTTTTAAACAAATTTCAGAAAACGATACTGAGTTAAGGAAAGCAAACGAAAGGAATAAACAAAACCGATATCCAATCTGAAGTTCATTAAGCACTTTGCCCGCTCAGTCCAGGTACCAAGAAATTGCTCACTTTTTCGGTTCTACTTGAATGTTACTTTTTTCATTATATCGGATACCTCCTAGCTTACCTCCAACTAGAAAGTATCTCTTTCTATCGATAAGTATGACACGATGAGAAAGACCTTAAAAGTTCTTCTTGATTTAGAACTATACTTTGAGACAAACCTTCGTATTAATGAGCATAGTTTCTGGCAATAGCCGCGCAAGAGTTCCTTCAGCTTCAAGCTCATCCAAATTTAGATATTTTTCGATGCTACACCTGATAAATATACTCTAAAAGCTTAATAAATCTGATAAGGAAAGAAATATCAATTTAAAAGAAGAAAAATCGACTTACGAATTTTGATTTCCAAGCTTTCGGCGTATTTGTAAAGCAGCTAATTCAATAGCTGTCTCGGCAGGAACTTTCCATGAAACCTCAAAAAAGCGTTTAATTCAGGAAAGTGAAAAAGGCTTAGAAAAGGTCGAGAGGTGCTACAGCTGCAGCTGAAGAAAGTGACGTGACGATGAAGTTGTAGCAAAACTATATTTTACTTTTCAATGCAAAACCATATTTCATATTTCATCTTTCAATGAATAAATCAAAAAAAGTCAAAATGACATGCACATGGGGGAGACAAACGGTTAATTGATATAAATTTGCGATTTTATTGGAAAATTTCGGGAATTTATAAAAACCAAACCTGAGTTACATAATCAGCCAGAATTTGATCGTGCAAAAACATGAATGCATCCGTTTCTGTTTGATACATTTCTTCAAGATCTTTTGATATGAAACGTAACCGTAATTCAAACCTTAAAGAAAAAGTAGGAAATCGGGATTCAGTTCTAAAAAATTTTGCAAATTATTGAATATTTTTACTGAATATTAAAAAACTATTGAATATTTTTGGGACAATTCTTCAAAATATTTTCACTAATTTTAGTATATAATTTCCGATCACTAATCTGCTTTTCAGTTGTCAGTTTAACTCCACCAAAAATTTTTTTAAAATTTTTTAGATGATAGATAGAATTTTGCTCTTGGAAACGATCAAAGCAATGACTTACCGTAGCTGGATGGAAGCCGAACTTTTGCTGAAAAATTTGTCATAGACATGTCGCATTGTAAGACCTGGATGCAACCAGTGGCAATCATTGTTATTATTGCACATTTGTGTTACCGGAGATCGGATTAAGCGAAGGGCAAAATATCCAAACGATACGCGGTCAATACCCAATGCTGATAATAAGACGTGAATCACTTTCTGCAAAACACTGCTTTAGTTAAAACATAATAAGAGATTCATTCACAGCTAAGATACAAGCAAATATCGATAACTTAAAATCTCAGCAGTGATATTCCACAATTCCATTTTGAACATCTGCTAAATTAAACCATAACACTTTTACTAATGACAAAACCATAAGCTCAAATATTAATAAATCTTGAGCTTGAACAAGGATCAACTGTGCCATCTTTGCGAAAAAAAAGCTAACCTGAACTTTTATTTCGAAATTATACCGCACACTTTTCACGACACCATTGGGTATATAAACCAGAATAACATCCGTCTCGTTCATTACCGTCGTCAATTCAACCAACTTATCTTCTTTGTCGATACTTCTCTATGATTGTTGTCGGCTCTTCAAGCATCTTACGATGGATTAAGTTCTCTTCTGCATCCTACAGCTGTTTTTAACGATTTCCTAGAATCATAAATCACCTTTAATTGATAAATAAAAGTGTGTACATTCAGGAATGTCAGTCACATCACATTCAAACACTTCAGCAGTTCTCAATTCCTCTCATTACCTAATAATATTCAAAGACATTCTACTCGAGAGAGGAACCCACGATATTCCCCTCGTTCATTAACAGTACAACTATTTGGTCAACAAATGTGTCAGTCGGTAAGTTGATCAATAATCGACTATAAACACAGCGTTTATCTCATTCTCTGCCCCCTCCCCGCCTCATCCCTTTTTATCAAGATGATACAGTGTCAATGAGAGGATGAGATCTGGCCAGAATGAGAATGACCGATTTGATAACGTCATGTTGGTGGTCAATCTCCGCCTAAATCCCTCTGCGCCAATGATGAGAATGCACTGACCGATACTACTACTACTGCTGCATACCAAATAGTCCATTAAATTCCACTTCTCGATGTCACATTTCAAATATAGGGTCAGTTTAAAATATTTATTTATGTAGTTTATGAAAGGATAATGCAAGGGGAACCTCAATCTTCCAGATCAATCTGGTGAGTCGCGGTAGGGATTGATGATGCTACTGTTTATCATAGTCACTCTCTACCGTGATTATTCATTCGCAGTATTCCCACTGTCTTGTGTCATCTCGCCCTGTCAACTATCAATTGGCATGCCAATATGCATCCATGCAGATAACTTTGGAGAGAGAGGAGTGTGTTGAAATTTGACAGTTGCTCATACTTTGAAAATAGCGCTCTTTCCTGCAAAAGATGAGGAAAGATCGATCATTGGTGGGGGAGTTTTTTTTGGTCTGTGATAATCAGTAATGTATCTGGGAGGAGTGTGACTGGATTAGGCGGGGTTGGTTCGGATTAGGTTCGATTGGATAGCTTAGATCGGATCGGGTCGGATGACTTCTCTTTCTGCGAGATTTTAAATTGGTTTGGTCAATGAGATTTTGTTTTACTTTGATCTTACATGTCATCGCTTTAGTTGGTTTTTCTTTTTTTTTTTTTTAAATAAAATCACTGTTCATTTTTTTTCTTGTCGATGGTTAATGTCGTTGAAATTCTGAATAATGACTTTTGAAATTTGTGAGCAGAAATAAATTTGCAACCCTTTGGTAATGACATTTCTTCCTTTTAGATGGGCGAACATTTCTTTAACATCAATCACGGATATTTGGAGGGTTTGGTTCGCGGATTCAAGGGAGGTATTCTGACACAAACCGATTACGCTAATCTTGTCCAATGTGAAACCCTCGAAGGTAACTTCTTCCTTGCGAGGTTGAAGCAAATTTTGGAAATTCTAGTAATTTGCAAGAAAATTGAAGCCAAACAACTTTAACTGAGTATAAGAGCGGACTGTTAGTCTTTAGAATTTATGAAAAGTCAATTGGGAAAGGATGAAAACTGGTATTTAAGAAATATTCACATGCTATCTTCCTTCATGAAAAGTTTTTATGGAAGGTACTAAATTATGAAGTTTTCAGATCTGAAGCTTCATATTCAGTCAACAGATTATGGAAGTTTTTTGGCAAACGAACCAGGCTCAATAACAGTTCAGGTTAATCAGTGGATCATACGAACACATGAGCATTTATTTGGAGAAATGACTTTCATTTGCACATAATTCCTTTTTATAGTTCCTTGATCTTAATTTTGCAGGTCATCGATGAGAGATTGAAAGAAAAGCTGGTAACAGAGTTCACACATTTTCGAAACAATGCCCTGGAGCCTTTATCCACATTTTTGGACTATATAACGTTAGTTATAGAATTTATATTAACTGTTCATGTTCACGATTTTTTCTAAAGTAGAGATGATCTTCTGGCTATCTCTTCCAATTTTTAGTGAAAACAATTTCAGATACTCATATATGATTGATAACATCATTTTGCTCATTACGGGGACGTTACATCAGCGACCCATCACTGAGCTGATCTCAAAATGTCATCCTCTTGGTTCTTTTGAGCAGATGGAAGCTATTCATATTGTTTCAACACCAGCTGAGCTTTATAATGCCGTGCTCGTGGACACTCCTTTAGGCATGAAATATCTTTAATTTTAGTTGTGAAATATTTAAAATGTGATACGATATGTGCAGATTTGTGATGTCACACTATTTTGAAATTTTCAGTGACTTTCTTGTAAATCGCAGGTATGAACAAGCGTTTAGTGAAGATGACGTTTAATGAAGTATAAGATGCAAGTGCCAGGGCACAGGAGATTCTTTTTTTTATCAAACAATATTGACTCAATTCAGCAATATTTCAAATCTTTGTTTCAATTTCTTAGTGCATTTAATAGTTTTTTATCATAATCCCTGAAGTACCACTTATTCTTCTTTTGCAGCATCGTACTTTGTTGATTGTATCAACGAACAGGACTTAGATGAAATGAATGTGGAAATAATTCGTAATACTTTATATCGCTCCTACTTAGAAGACTTCTACAAATTTTGCAAACGTTTAGGAGGCAAAACAGCAGAAGTTATGGGTGAAATTCTCGCGGTATGTTGAAAAAAAATGGAATTATGGTGTTGAAATTGATTTAACACAGATAAAATTGAATTGTTCGCTCTTTGGTATTAGCAGTTGTCTGTTGTTCATAATAGCATGTCCATTGCTGTCTTCCGAAGCTACAGCAAAATTACTATATTGAAACCGGAAATGCCTGAAAGTATCGAAACATCGTACCCGGTTTCAATACTTTTTGTAAGATCATTTTCACATCGTAATGCCATTTAGGTCAGTATTGAGTTATTCTTTCTAAAAAGGAAGGAGTATTTCTTGCTCAGGTCAATAACTCTTAACTCTTTTTATAAGTACTTTTTGCAGTTTGAAGCAGATCGCCGTGCCATTATAATAACAATCAACAGTTTTGATACCGAATTGTCAAAGGATGATCGAGCCAAGCTTTATCCGCGATGTGGAAAACTTTATCCTGAAGGTACATTTCTATAACATTTGATATCGCTGAAGCCTGTTAATATTTGTTATCAATTAAGGGTTGGCTGGATTATCGAAAGCGGATGATTACGAACAAGTTAAGCAGGTCTGTGAATACTATTCAGATTATCGTGCGCTTTTTGAAGGATCTGGTTTACAACCTGGCGAAAAGGCGCTTGAAGATAAGTTCTTAGAGTACGAAGTGAGTTTGTTTCATAATTCTTATTCATATTCCAGTTTCAAAAAAAAAAAAAACATATAGCCAAATAGAAATTCTCGGTACTCCTACCTTATGGTGATACAGTAAGACCTGAAATCCAGTCCAGTTAAACTGTCAATCAGATTATTAGGACTGTACCAACTTTTTTGTCACAATACTTTCAGGTAAAACTGAACGTCCTATCATTTTTGCATCAGTTCCATTTCGGTGTGTTCTATGCATTCATTAAGCTTAAAGAGCAAGAAATGAGAAACATTATTTGGATCGCGGAATGCATATCACAGAGGCACCGAGCTAAAATCGATAATTACATTCCGATTTTATGAAATTTCATCGGTTTCCATAGAAATGTCGTAGTTTTCCACCATTCCTTTTTATTAATAGTAGAAAGATCATCTTATGTTGCAGATTAGTTATGGCCAATTGTTCAGTCTTCTGTTGTACATGTTGGCTTATAGAAAGTTTATATGGATTAATTCAGTAGTGTATCTGTCATGTGGTTTTCCTCTTAAAGATCGATATTTCCACCGCTATAAAAGACTTGATCTGATTTCCTTTTCTCTTAGCTGATTACGACATCCTGTGATTCATTTATGTAGCAAGCATGTGTCCAGCCTTTGTATATCCTAGTCATATACAGTATTCTATATGCTTATCAGCATTTTCATTTCGTTACATTTCAGTCCAATATAAATATCTAGTGTTGTGTTACGTTATAGTCACTCACTTATTATTTGTGAATAACGAACAAGAACGGCGGGACAGACAGACTTAGCTTCACGACGAAATGTTAGAAAAACAGTTAAGGAAGACTGGATTTGAATGTTTTGGAGATCTGTGACCAAGTTGAACAGAGTAACCCTAGTAGGCTTATAAATAGATCTTGCTGTCGTCACTTTCTTAATCTTCAGACATCATAGATCACCCTGTGAACCAAATTGGCCTGAATTCTAAATTCCAGCCAAACATGCATAAAACTCACGAACCAATTGTCAGAGTCCCATGATTTGTATATCGTTGTTGGCTAAGGTTATGCGCAAATCAGAAAAAGCCCGGAATTTTCTTTTCGTCATTACCTCTAATCAAGATAAATCCTTTGCTTACTGCTTGCATCAGAACAAAACATTTATTGGACACCTTCGTAACAATAATAATTTTCCATTACTTGAGCGGGATAAAACGAGAAGAATGTGTCGCACCAATACCTGGCCGCCCATGCTTCACAGGTTTGTATGTGATTGCGAATTCTCCCAAATAATAACCAATCATTTCAGGCTTTATTTCGACCTGAAATCATCGTCAGGTCAATTTCACTTCATAAGAATTAATAAGTCATTTAGAAAACTGCAGTGTATATGAAAAGGAAAAAAAGATGAAACAGCAGTATGTCCTCGGCTAGTATCAGGAGCAACTAGAACCAAATATTTGAAAAATTTCGTCATAACAGGTGTACTGTAACCAATTGGACTTCGAGGATAATCCATTTCGAAGTAGGTTTTTCGTACAGTACCATTATATAGCACAATTAAAAAAAGATCATACAAATGGAAAGTATGACAGAGAGTGCATTGTGCATACAGTAAGAGTATCTTTGCGTTATAAACGATTCATTCCAAATTAAAAGTAATCCTATAATTACGTTCATCAAATACTCATCAAACGTTCATCACCGTTCATCAAATGCTGATATAAGCTGTTCGCGAAAGTCTTGGTGAACAATGAGTACAAATATAGAAGTCTCAAAAATATCGAGATTTCATTAAGCAAGACTAAGTAAGACCCACTGATAGACGAGACAGAATTAACGACAGATCTAATTAAGTCCATCATCATTCTGCAGTAGTTATCCTTCACAACAAATTTATTTACCCAAAGTTAACCAACACGAGCTTACCATCTTGTCCACGTAATAACAGTATAATATGTTACATTATTCTCTTACATCTCCTCATTTCCCAGTCCCGTATATACACACAAGCCGGCAGTCTTAAAAATAAAATAAATCCATTGTAAAAACAATATTTTCGGAAAAAGCTTACCTGGTTGAAAACTTTGCCGTTGTACACTCCCACGACTGATCCAACCATTTCGGGTAATACAATCATATCACGTAAATGAGTCTTAATTGTGGCTGGTTTTTCATGCATTGAAGCTTCCTTTTTTGCTTTTCGTAACCGATTTAAGAATGCCAAATGTTTGCGTTTCAAGCCGCGAGCCAGACGTCTACGTGCACGGCAGGGCAACAGTTTTGCCAACTGATCACTAAAAAAAACTTCTTTTGTACAATTTCCTGCAAGTGAGTAACTTTAGTTCGCTTAGCGTTGGGTCATTACATTACCTATGCATCTATTATAGAATCGTTCATATCTAGAAAAACCGCTCCAAGCACATCGGCCCTAAACGCATGGCCATATAGTCAAGTCAGTAACAACGATCATTAATTAGAACATCAATAGATTTTTCAATGAGTCCTACCCAATTAACCGATAAGGGAAAGACAAAGTGAAGGGAATCCACTGCTCAATTCAAATGATCTTATATCACAACAACCAGAAATAATCAGTTATTGCTGTATCACACAACAAAGATACAACAATGCAGTGAACATGATCGCATACTGACCTCCAGTATATGTACCCAGTTTGCAATTATATATTTCCTCTTTCACTGTACCTTTCGACAAAGTAATAATAAATAGTAACCTTTCGTAGTGACTGATGAAACTGTTATGTAGTATTAAGTATCAACAATTTTGATGAACAGTCTATCCGAAATTAAACAAACTGTACTACTACTAACCGATTCAAATCCAATAGCTGATCCAAATCGACTCCACGATATGTGAATTTCTTAAAGGTACGCTTCTTTTTCAGCTCAGCAGCTGCAGCTTCATCCGTTTGTGACATGACTGCTGTGCAGTAGTTTACACAACAACAACAACAAACTCTGCAGTTGAAGAAATAATTTAATCTGATGTTTTTATGCATGACACAAACTACTACCACAATGAAAAAATAACTTGGACAATCTGCAAAAACTATGTCATCGTGTTATTCTATCCGATAATCATCATAATATAGAAAGACTTCAGGTCTCAAAAGCAAGAAGGTATACATTGTCTTAAATTTCTGAAGAAACATTGAGCTCAACTTATGTTATTTGATACTTCCTCCCAAAAATTCTAACTTGACCAGTCCGCATAACTTGGATGGGCAAAGAACAAGCATCTTTTAACTTGAACAGCTAGAGAATAGAATACCAACTGATTTAGGTACTCAGTGAGGAAGTCATTGGCCTAGTAATGCCCAATAATGATATGATATACTGCCAGAAATTCCAATTAAGTCTAGAAGACAGCACCACCACTTGGATCTCATCAACAGAGCAGTTCGTATCACAAAATGCTTAAGAAGTGAATGAATTACATGACAGGGAAGTGTGGTGGAACTATCTATCTCGTCCCATCGATGAGTCAAGTAATTACCAGATAGTCCCATCGACAGAGCTGATTACTTACTCCTGTGTTTTCCCTAATCCTTTAGGTAACATGTCCTAACTATTCCAAAGCCAACTCCTAATATATTCTAATCAGATGAGAAACTCATACCGTGAAAGGACAACCGCCTAAAAGCCAGATTATACCTTTACGTCAAACCATCGTCTCGCTATACCCAGTGACGATACGAAATTAGTTCGTCTCAACGAATGGAATAAAAAGGAAGATTGAGAAGTGCAGGAAGTGGTGGATCGATGCTGGCTGTGTCTTTAATTCTTTAATTTTTCGATTTGTGAAGCTTATGGACTCAAAGTGAACTTCTCTATAATTATCGAACAGAAAGACTTCTTGAAAGCATTCCAGTTAGACAAATGTGAAGAACAAAGGATATGTTTGTTTTCTTTTCTTAAAAAGAGTTAGAATCGAAGAGTTGCTGTGTAAATCTTTGAGACTGACATCAGTTATCTATCTATGCTTACACTCTTATTCATTCACTACTTTTTCATTTCTGCTATATCATTTTATCAGCATTATCGAATATATGTATATGTGAGTCCTCGTTTCTCCTTATATAACCTTTTTTTCTTGTTGCGATTAGCATTATTCGTTTATAGGATTGAAAATGCAAGAGTTATGGATTGTGCTGGAACTGTAACGATTGATACGTTTCAAGTTATCCTCTATAATTACGATATTTTTTTAAATGAACTTCTTATTTAAAATTAATGATAAATATTTGAAAATATTGTCAAATGGATGGATAAATTACAAAAATTCCGAGGATAAAGGGTGCCTGGAAGGTTATTCAGGCTCGAGCCAACAAGTCATTCATCATTGGTCCAAGATAATAAGTCTGAGTCACCACATATGCTACTACTGAACCGTTAAGATGAGAAATTTGTAGTAAGCAACTAGAGTGATTTCACGATATGATTGATTGAGTTTCAAGTTTTCTGCTGGATTTTAACTTAATTTTTAAATTCAATTTCAACTCAACTCAACCCAATTGTAACTTTTTACTTCTTTTATGCAACTACAAATTAATAATAAGAGATTTTGAAAACTTTCTTGCTTCTCTTTCCTTCTCTCCCTCTCCTTCTTTTTTAAATATAAAAACATATTAATTTTAAATAAAAATTTTAGTAAATCTTCCAGTATTTTTAGAAATAGTAAGTGATCACCAGTGTAGTTTGCATATTAACCAGCTTAGTGGCCAGTGTAATGTTACAATTTTTCTATGAGTTGCCTGTTGAAAAATTTCAATTTAAAGATTTGAATTTGAAGATTTGAAGGGAACAGCTAAATTCCTTCTACTGGACTAAATTTTCTGGCTTTGTCTATGATGATGGTCATCTTGTCCTTTTCCTTGCTTTTTCTATGACATGGCTAGCTTGTCCTCTATCCAAAACATTTAATACCAAAAATAAAATTAAAAAAACTTTTATTGGTCTCAGTGTTGCTTATCTTAAAAGAAATTAAAAGCTAATCAGTAAATGAAACAAGAAAACTATTGCTGTTCTTAGCTTAACAGTTTAATTTTCGCAAAAATTTCATTCAAAAAATCATTCCTTAAAATTATTTCACAAACAACAATGAGCAATTTCCACTTTGACGTTGATTCAAATATTTTGACGATTTCTTTCTGTCCTCTCCTCATTTGTCTACCATCTCTGGAAGTTTTCCATTTTCCCATTGCTCGTTTCCATCGGTGGGTGTGCCATTTCAAGTTTGTATTTTATAAAAACAGTTATGTTTTAAAGATTACTTTGTACGAAATGAGTGAGTAATATCAGATATTTCAAATTTGCATATTAATTGAATTTTATGACCATGGCTGTCATGTTTTCATTCATTATTTTCGTGAAATAAATCAATATTGGAGATCTTTGAATTTTCTCATTTTAAAGTCACATATGAACGACTGCCGTCGTCAAGGGTTTATTTATCCCATACGGTTATCCCACAAAGAATGCTTTCTGATCAGCGATTGTTTAATTTACTAATCAAGTACAGTTCCCCCGTCTCACTTTTTTTTCATTTATAATTTCTGCTCTAATTTAACTCTGTTACACTGTCCATCTCTTTATCCCTTTTTTTTTCTTTTTAAAATTATTTATCAGTGTTCTGTGCAGTGCACTATCAAATCAGTAGTTGTACGAGTATATCTAAAGATTTAAATAGAACAGAAATTAATCGTTCCGAATTTTAAAAGCTTACTGATACAGATTTTCTTGAAACTTTGACTGAAAATTTGATTTAATGCATTGAGCTGATTGTATTTTGAGTTGTTGATTTCAGTTATTGATTTCAAACTTTCTCATATTTTGACTTTAGTTTATATCTGATGTTGAAATAAGCACATAAGTGAGATGTGTCGTGCAATGATTTATATTACCAATTTCTTCTGGCGTTCCTCTCAGAGGATCTTTTACTCAAAGAGGAAGAAGTTATTTTCTCCTGTCAATGTAATTATCAATTCCTGTCATTTTTTAAATACATGTAAAATGGGTCTAAACGACACCCACCTAGTCTCATTTCCTGATTTTTCTGGTCATGTCTAATTAATCGGTGCACAATTAACCTGTTTTTGAACATTCTCATTTGATTCAGATCCGGGATCCGAAAAAAAATCTCGGTAAAATTTTATTTTGCTAATAATTTACCCATACTTTCGCAAGAAATAATAGAAGAAGTACGTGGATTATTCATACACATCTCTTTAAATTGATAACAGGCGTGTTACGCATGTCAAACTACCATAAAAAAACTACCATAAACCGTCATTGTACCAAAGAAATGCGTGACAAGAAAAAGTGATCAGTAAAAAATGAATGAGACAAATGTGATTTCAATCATTGAAAAAGAAATTTTTTCTTCGTCAGCAATTTTTTTAGTTGCTAAGTTTTTAGCAGAACAAACGATTTGAATATTTGATTGAAATTTATTTTAGCATGGGATGATGATGATACTTATGCAAATTCTAATCTTTTTCAGAATTCTTAAAATGCTATCGTTGTGGAAACAAGTAATGCTTTTGATGTGGAAAAGTATTCTGATCTCTAAGAGACAGAAAGTTTGTCATTCCATCTTTCCAATAATTGTAGTAAGTAAAAGGATCGGTGAATGATCAAACTCCCATTTCCGCTTCAGAATGGGACTTCTCACTCAATTAACTGTATCTAAGCTGTGATAAAAATGGAGCTAAAAAGTGTCATCATTAAATTAAATTGTCAATAATACTGAATTTTCTGAAGTAACTTCAGTTTTGTGAGTGGAAAATTTTCGGCAATATTGAAGAATTATATTATATTGGATACAGAATTTCAAAAAATTCGAAAGTTTCGAATTCACTTTAAAATTCGATTTCCAAATTAAATAGTAAAATCTAAAAGGCTTCAAAAAATGGTTCCGAAAATTAAAAATTTAGATCTGGTTTGCTCTTGAATTACTGTTACCAATTCTTCTATTTGGTATTCTTGCATTAGTGAGAGCGAGAAATTTCACAGAAACATATTCAACATGTAAGTTGTCGTGTTTTCGAATAGATTACTTGGCTGAATAAATTGTTGGCTCATTTTTCGTTTACACAGCGAAACCAAATTCTTCTCTGTCAAGTTAATTAGTTAGAAATGTAAATGTCTGGTAGTTCTTAGGCCAAGAACCATATCTTTTTGAGCTAAATATGAACCATCTGTTGTTGATCGAAACAAGTTGTTGACTAAACAAGTTGTTGACAAATTGCTGTTGATCGTTTCCTTATTAACAGTGCACTGCACCACACCTTACATGATGATACCCTTGTCAACATAACGATGAAGTAGTTTCAGGTCATTATGATGCAAAGGCTTTACCATCCGCTGGATTAATGCCTTTTGTTCAGAGTTACTTGTGTTCTTTCACAAATCCTTGCTATGAGACTCCAACAACAGGTGACGATACCGCCAAAATTAATAGTGATGGGCGCAAACAGTCACTGTAAGTGCCAAAGATGTGAATTTCAAGCAAAGTTTCAAACTGAATTTAGGATTAAAATTTTAATAGAAAGCTACATTTGCATGTTGTAAATTCCAAAAAAACTCCTTTTTTCAGTTTTCGAAATTTTCGGTTACATTTTTTCTTGAATTTCAACAAAAATTAACATAAAATTATTATTACAGCATTGTTACAATTGCCAGAGGTATAGCAGAAATGTATGTTGCGATAGGTTCAGAACCGATCAAATGGGCTAACTTATCGAATTCGATCATTTCGTTGGTTGACATATTCGCCCATTTCACGCCACATGCCTTTCAAAAACCCATTCCCTTGGTTTCATTTTTCAATTCCACTAAAGAAGCTGTCGGATTCTTCAAATCAACTTTAAATATCAACGACGAATTGTCTGTCAACTTAAGTCATGCCCGAATTACACCACTTTACGCTCTGGAAATTATCGGGAAGGTTTGCATTTAACGAAGTCAAATGGAATCATTGCAAGATTTAAATCTTACAAAACTTATACTTTAACATTACTGCATTATTGCCAGTCTTTTTAGTATCATCAAACTATTTGAAATATGTTTTTGCTAAAAATATTTAGACTTCACTCTTAACAAGCAGTAGAAGTTTCACTTGGAGAAAAATCAATTTGTTATGCAATTTGATGGATCATGTGATAAATTCAATCTATCCAACGGATATATTTCACTCAAATTTATTATGTGAACAATTTGAAAGCAAGATATTTCAATATCTTATGCAATTTAATGCCGATGAAATACATGCAATGATATTAGAAGCTTTGCACAATGTATGTATGTGTTATGTTTAATAGATAGATATCATTGGGATTCATTGGAAAAGTTAATTGTGGTGATACTCCAAAAATTCATAATATTTCAGGAGAAAAATTTGAAATTTTCATTAAATTTTTCGAAAAAACAAACCTTTGAAAAAGGTTTTTTAATTTAAAAAGAGCTAAAAAATTTTCAAAAATTGATGATTTTCACAAATTTGGCAACAAATATTATAAAAGTGTATAAGAAGTATAGGTATGAATTGTGAAAAGATTTAAATAATTTTTAGTGGCTGAAATTTACATTAGCAAACAATATCAACATGGAATACGAGGAACTACTGGAAATATTCAACACATTGCGTAGTTTTCAAAATGATCAAGTGATCAGGAAGTTCATTTCATTCCTATCAATCGTTGATTTCAGTAATTACACTTCAGTAATTAATGCGATACACTGTGGGAATAACCGTAAGTTTTCATTTCATAACTAGAATGATTTTAAATTCTTAGAATAGCTTTTGATATTTTAGTCTTAGAGAATCAAAAGTATTTGTGTAAGTGAACCAACTTTTTCCTCATTATCCACTTCTGACAAATTTTCTAGTACCTTTGATTATTCAATCTATGAGGATGGGACAACTTCTTTCTGGGTGACATTGTTCTCAAACTCGTCTATGAAAATCTTTCTTTAAAACAATTTAGCCACTAGTTTGAGTTAAATTAATTTAGCTTTAAATGTATTCAATAGATTTTATAGATTTTGAAAATTTATTCAGCTTACGACCAAAGTTCGCATGAGGGAAAGTCCATTCCTGATGCAACAACAACAGCCGCGTACAATGTTGACAGAGATAAAATATATGATTTTTTGCGTCGCTTAACACCTCGACATAGTGGACAACATAAGAAAAAACAATTTTGTGGTCTTATTCCGATACATTCAGGTATTTCGATCATTCCGGTTCATCCAAATATTTCGGTCATTCCGGTTCATTGGAGTATTCTGATCATTACAACCAACTAACATATTTTGTTTACTATACTATGCTACACTGCTTTACTTTCCGATAATGAAAGCATTATATTTCAGAGAGAAACTGTTCATTCCTGGAAGGTGCAGCTTTGTCACAATTAATGCCGTTGATTAATGGCTATATCCTGTTGGCGCCCGCTTCTCCTACTGTTGACGCATTTGCCGAAAAGGTGATGTTGTGGTGGATTTGCAACACTTCAGAATGCATTATTATTCATCATTCTACCACAGTTCCCTTAACATCGCTATCAAGATGTTAGCTGCGTGACCACTTTAGAAT